TGGTCTCAAAGTTCATGGAAAGGTTTAAGACTGTTGGGGACCAAGTATGGTTGTTATGAAGGTCGCTTTGGGTCTACACTGAAGGAGAAGATAATGGAGTTTGAACTGGATAAGGAGAAAAGGGCACAGAGAGATATGTAGAGCTGGGGCGATACCTCAGTTAGGAAAGTGATTGCTATGACCTGCATTTGAACACCCAGTACCCAGAGGAAAAGCCAGGTACAGGAGAGAGAGAGAGAGAGAGAGAGAGAGAGAGAGAGAGAGAGAGAGAGAGAGAGAGCTCAGTGCTCAGAGACAAGAGACAGAAGGACCCTGGAACTTGCTGGCCTGGTAGTCCAGAGAAAGTAGAGCTACAGGTTCAGTGAGAGATCCTGTCTCAAAAACCAGAGTCAGGCATGGTGGTATAGATCTTTAATCCTAGCACTTGGGAGGCAGAGGCAGGAAGACCTCTGAGTTCAAGGCCACCTGTACTACATAGTGAGATCCTGTCTCAAAAAATAAATGGTAGAAATCAATTGTGCTAGTAGTTATAATTGTCAACTTGCCATGACCTGAAAGCACTTAAGGGGAGAGCCTCAACTGAGAACCTTCTAGATCAAGCCGGCCTGTGGGAATGTCTGTAGGGGGTTATCTTCACTGTTGGTTGATGTGGGAAGACCCAACCCACTGTGAGTGGCATGGTTCCTTAAGCAGGCAGTCCTGGGCTATATAAGAAAGCTAGCCAAATGTGAACAACCTAGGGAAGCAGGTAGCATAAGAGCACTGGATTCTCTCTGCTCTTGACAGTGGGTGTGATGTGACTGGCCATTTTAGGTCCTGTCTTGACTACCCTGAAATGGACTGAAACCTGAAATTACAAGCCAAATAAATCCTTTCTTCCTCTACACTGCTTTTGATTAGAACAGTTTATCATAGCAAAAGACATAAAACTAGAACAGCAATCAAAGAAGACACTCACCATCTACCTCTGGCTCATCCATGTGCATGTGAGTATACACACACAGCTAAAAAGTAAGAAATATGTATAAGAAACAGAAATTAAACTCTGCTCTTCTGCATTCAAGGCTCTCTGTGACTTTGCCTCACGGCTGCACTATTTCCATCAACCTCTCCTGCTCTTTCCAAGACAGAGTGGAAAGCATGCTATTCTCCATACCCTACACATTGCTGTTTCTGTGCGCTTCCTCTGCTACTGCCCTCTGCCACCTTCAAATCCTTCTTCTATGTTTTTGTTAATGTTTGCTTTGTTGCTTTTTCTGGCCTTAAACAACCTTTCTTCTTCCCATTTTCCCTTTTCTCCTCTTCTTTTGAGACAATGTCTTATTATGCAGCTCAGACTGTCTGGGAACTCACTGTGTAGCTCAGGTTGGCCCAAACCCTCCCAAATGCTGAGATTACAGGCATGAGGACCTCTCTCTCCAATCAGGGCATTGCACATGCTAGACAAGTACTCTTTCATGGAGTACATCTTCAGCCTCTGGGCTTGAACTCTTGATGGTTCTGCCTCCACCTCCTGAGTGCTATGATTACAGATGTTCACCACCATGCCCACTTTATGCATTGTTGGGGATCAAACCCAGGGTTTTGTGCCTGCTAGGCAAATACTCTACCAACTTGGTACACCCCCAGCTCTATTTTTTTATTCTTTAAAAGATTTATATTCACTTTATGTGTATGAGTATTTTTGCCTGCATGTATGTAAATGTATTGCTTCTGGTGCCCGTAGAGGCCAGAAGAGGGCACTGGATCCCTGGAACTAGAGTTGGATGTGAGCCACCATATAGATGCTGGGAACCAGAGTCATCTGTTCTTAACTACTGATCCATGTCTCCAGCCTCCCATTTTTCTTCTTCTGAGACAGGGTCTCACTATGTAACCCTGGATAGCCTGGAACTCACAGAGATCTGCCTGCCCTTGCCTCTGGAGGGCTGGAATTAGAGACGTATGCCACCAAATCCAACTTTCATTTTTACAACAGGACCTTACTATGTACCCCAGGCTACCCTGGCCTTACTATCCTCCTGTCTGAGCCTCCCAAGAGCTGGGATTACAGGCATGCTACCTAATTCCCAGTCCAGTCCAATGTGACATCCTTCTGGAATCTGCACAGCCTGAACCCCAGGCTCACGAGAACACCTCTCTCTGGCATCACTTCTAGGGAATTGTCTCGGGCAGACCTTGAGCATTACATAAATGATATCCACCCTGGCTTCCTCCTCATTATTTCAGGTTTGCTTAGGCAGTCACATCTGAAGCATGAAGAGAAAATGTCTAAAAGTTCTGCTAAAAATACGTCTACTTACTTGGCATCTAGAGATGGCTGTACAACACAGAGCCAACCAGAAGCACAATTATAATCAGTAGGACAGATTAGACGACTCCATAATTAAGAGTGCTTCCTGCTCTTCAAGAGGACCTGAGCTCAGTTCAAGCGCCCATGTCAGGTGACCCACAACCACCTGTAACACCAGCTCCGGGGGATCCAACTCCCTCTTCTGGCCCACAAACATAGCACACACAGACTCACACATGCACAAACACACATAAATAAAACAATTTTTAAAGATTATTGTCAGCAAACAAAAACATCTACTCACCCCTCCCTTCCCATCACAACTGAGCTTCAAACACCTGCTTGTTGCATATAGTTTTAGTTAATAAAATTCCAACGTCTGTCTGTTTTGAAACAGCCTCAAACTGTAGTGCAGGCTAGCCTAGAACTTACTATGTAGCTCAGGTTGGCTTCAAACTATTAGCAATCCTTCTGCTTCAGTCTCCTGAATACTTGGTTTATAGGCATGAGTGACCATTGCCAGATTCAGGAGTATTTTTTTTAAACCTAGTTTTCATGCTAAAGAAAATAATCCCAGGAAGAGTGTTAAAGGGGGTGTCTTTCCATGAAGCAGTAAGTTCAGATGATTTGCCTTATTATATAACATTACCAGCCAGCCTGGCCTGATTGATGAGCTCCAGACCAGTGAGAGACCCTGTCTCAAAGGAGATGACGCCGTTCCTGGGGATGTACCTGGAGGTGGCTTTCTGAATAAGAATGGCTTCCATAGGCTCATATAGTGGAAATGTTTGGAAAGACTAGGGTGTGTGGCCTTGTTGGAGGAGGTGTGTCATTGGTGAGGTGGGGCACTTTGAGGTTTCAAAAGCCCACACCAGAGCCAGTGTCTGTCTTCTGTCTCTCCTCCTCTTTTTGTTTCCCCCACCCCCTGCTTGCTTCCTGTGGCCCAGGATGTGAAGCTCTCAGCTACTGCTCCATTGCCATGTCTGTCTGCTTGCCTCCATGGAGATCATGTATTCACCTTCCAGAACTGTAAGCACGCCCCCAGGAAAATGTTTGGTTCTGGTGTCTCTTCACCGCAATAGAACAGCAACTGAAACACCCAGGATTGTCCTCTAACCTTCACACACGTACACACATAGGCACCCTCCACACACACCTACATTAAAAATAAAGAAAATAGCGTGAAAAAAGGTAAAATATTTTCTAATCTCCTTTGGGTTATGAGTTGAAGTGTGTGTGTGTGTGTGTGTGTGTGTGTGTGTGGTCCAGCGGGTGTCAGATCTCTGGAGCTAGAGTGGTGGTGAGCCCTCGGACATTGGGCATTGGAAATCCGTCTCAGGAGATCTGCAAGAGCAGTACTTACTCATACCCACTGAGCCGTTTCTCTAGCCCTTATTTTTGACTTTTGGAGACAGGCTCTCATGTAGTGCAGACTACTCTCAAACTATATAACTGGGCTGGAACTTAACCTCCGATCCTCCCATGCCCATTTCCCAGTGCTTAGATTACATGCTTGGCTTACAAAGCTCAAATCAAAGGGTGGAAACGTTCAGGGCTGGCTCCTGACTTCAGGCCAGTCCTGCCACGCTCGTATTTCCCTCACCTGTACACTGGGAGCTGCTCTTGTGGCTCTCTTTTGTTTGTAGTCTCAATATGTGGTCAATGTGTGCTCCAGACTGACCGAGAAGCCTCTTTGTAGTCCTGGCTGGCCTTGACCTCCTGATACCCCTGTTTGTCTTTGGATGCCGGTGGAGACTAGAAGAAGGCATTGATGATCCTCTGGAACTGCAGTTATGGGCAGTTTCGAGCCACTTGACCTGGAAACTGAACTCCAGTCCTCAGCAAGAGTTGTAAGCACTCTTAATTGCCGAGAGTCTCGCCAGTGTCAACAGCAACTTCTTGTCCCTTCCCTCAATTTCTTCTCCAATTCTACTTCCTGGTCTCCGTTTCCTAGGGCTCCAGGCTCCTCAACAAGCCTTCTCTTGGGTATTTAGGGAAGCTTTGTAGAAAGCATCCAGTGAGGAGCTGACTTACAATTACAGACACTGGCTGGGGAAGTTAAGTTCTAGAGGGACAAACCAACTGGGCTGATTTAAGGACGCCGTGCGCACCCTGATGAACCCACAGGAGGAATGACGCTGTGCAGACTGGGCGGGACTAAGGTTGAGGAACCGCAACTGACAAGCACAGATACTCTTAAGAAGCCCCGCCCACACAGGAACTAACGAGCAGGCGCATGCCTGTTCAGAACAAATCCGAGTCTGAAGGTGGTGCCAAGTGGGAGTCTATGAAGGGCCGGGCCACCAAAAAGTAGCAGATTTCCCTCTTCTGAGCTGGTCCTTTAGCAATCAGCGATACAGAGCAGAACCTCCTCCAGTCAAAAGTTTGTTGTTTTCTTGAGCAGGTGGTTCTAGACTCTGCAAAAGCTGGACTGCACACACACACACACACACACACACACACACACACACACACACACACACACTCTTAAAAAATCTAAAGTCACCAGAGTACTTGGGGCTCTAAAAATTCTGGCCCTTCTGAAATAAATTACCACCCTCTCACTTTCGGCCTGCTTTGCACTGTTGAGCTTATGGCGTCTCTCCAATCTGAGCCCACAGCCTTCCGCTTCCTCTGGATGACTCATAATATGTTAGGTCTCAATACTGAAGGGACCAGTATTGGCACAAGACATCCCAAGACCGAGTTCTCAGCACAAAGGAGATTTATTTGCCCAAGAGAGACAAGAGGCAGGGAATGAGAGACAAAGACGGGAGATTGAGGATGAGGGAGAAGGGAGGGAACAAGGGCGAGAGGGGAGGGTATTAGTCCTGAGGGACCAAGGACTGCCTCTGGATAGAGAGGAGACAAATGGCAGTTTATAAAGGTAAAAGGGGAACCCGTGTGTTAGGATGAAGTGTTTAATGTTAATTAGATGAACCAAAGGAGGCTTTTGATTGGTGCACTTCAATACCTTGGTAGTCAGGAGGAGAAAGTGGTCAAGCTAGAGAATAGTCCTTGGTGGTCAGCTTAGGAAAGCAATCTAATGGGTTTTGGCAAGGCAGAGGGAATAGGGAAAAGGGCAAAAGCTACCAGAGCCATGTTTGCCGTTCTCAGAGTGGCTGGAGTCCCTTCAGACACCACTGCTCTTTCTCTTGAAGTGCCTTCCCTGACTCTGACTCAGCTCAACTCCCTCTTGTGCTTGTGTATAGTATTCTGTCCACTTTTTTCTTACCACTTACCCACATTTTACAAATCAGTTTGTGTGTCCATTGTATGAGTGTATTGTATATATACACTGGTTGGTGCATATCATGGGAGCATGTCTTGTTGATACAGAAGGGACCAGCCAACTGTGGGTGGCACTATGCCTAGGCAGGAGATCCTGGGATGTATAAGAAAGCTAGCTCAGCATTAGGCCGTGAGGGAGCCAGCAAGCAGCATCCTCCACAGTTTCTACTTTAGGTTCCTGCCTTGACTCAGTGATGGACTGTCACTTGGAAGTGTCAGCCTAATAAATCCTTCCCTCTCTAGGTTCCTCTTAGAGTGTTTTGTCCCGGCAACAGGAGGAAACAACTCAACTCTCCATAATACCACTGCACACGAGTCATCCGTGTTCCTGTCAGCACCTCTAACAATTCATTGATTTGGCCGGGTTGGACATATCGGAATCTTTTCTTTGGTCTTCTTTGGGAATGAACACACATTTCTTTTACCTCCTAACAACGTCATGAAATACCAGGAGACCCTGCAGTATTCACCTAAGCAGGCTCGCTGCCTCTGCCTCACCTCTGCCCCCTCCAAAGACACCACACACACCCTTTCTCTCACTCAGAGAACAACCTTCCTCTATAGGCCTGTTCACTCCGCTCCTTGGCCTCAAACCTCGTACTGGCTCATGATTCATTCACTCATTTGTTCACTTTCTCACAAAGAGTTCTGCATGCATCTTAGACCTTAGGCACCGTCCCTGGTACTGGTGACACAGGGAGAAGACAGGCAAGCTCCTATCCCAGGGGGATGGACATTCTGAGGGTCAGGATGTGACCCTATGACATACATAACCTTCCAACGTTTTATCTTCGAATTCAAATTCATCACGGCATATTTTCTCCACCTGTGTCTCTGGGTACTACTTTTTTTCTTTCCTTTTTTTGTTTTTGTTTTTGTTTTTTGGGTTTGTTATTTTATTTTGTTTTTGTTTTTGTTGTTTTGTTTTGGGGGGTTGGTGTTTTTTTGTTTGTTTGTTTGTTTTTTGTTTTAGACAGAGTTCCTCTGTGTAGCCTTGGCTGTCCTGGAACTAGCTTTGTAGACCAAGCTGGCCTTGAACTCACAGAGATCCACCTGCCTCTGCCTCCCAAATGCTGGGATTAAAGGCGTGAGCCACCACTGCCCGCTCTGGGTACCACTTTTCACAACCCAGGCTCCATTCAAGTACACATTGTATGAGTCTACTGAAGTTTGAGGCAGAGAGATAAGAATGGGAGATCTTGTCCAAAGGTTTCATCTACTAACTAAGCACTTACGTTGGGATTAGATTAAAATATAATGGTGTGTGTGTGTGTGTGTGTGTGTGTGTGTGTGTGTGTGTGTGTGTGTGTGTCTGTTTGTCTATGGAACTGGTCATGAAGAAAGGGATCAAAATTCCTGTTTCACAGTGCCATGTGCATTCATTTTTCTCTCCTGTGACTGTCTCAAATATGTACCTTTTGGCTCACCCAAACCTATATGATTTGTTAATCACACAGGTGACCTTTAAAAGTCCTGAGACCAGGCCCAGTAGTAGTCCCCACACCTTGGAGTATGTGGGATGTGTAGAGGCTGAGAGGGCGTTGTGAACACAGATTCTCAGGACCTCAAGTTTATTATGGAGTTGGGGCTTGTGGAGTCTCCACGGGTTTTTGTAATTCTGGGCACAGTGGGAACTTTGGATGGGATGCTGTCTCCATAGCCTTCGTTGGCTTCAGGCTCTGTCTTCCTTTTCCTGGAAGGTGAGAAGGTGGGACAAAGAGAGATGATGGAGCAGATTTACAGAAGTCGCCACATCTGAGAAGGAACGCTAAGGCAACATGGCTCAAACGTCGGCTTAGCTCTCCTCACAGTTCCGTGGCTGGAGCCTACAAAACTCTTCTCCCTCTGGCCCCTCCCTGGTACAACTGGAGGCTCCCAGAATACCCCTTAGGTCCCCAAGATGTTGTATATGATGGCCTCAGGCAAGTGTTTCCCCACGCTCTGGACACCCTAACCCCTGGCTCAGTCCTCTTTCTGGGAGGGCACCTTTCCCTACCAGCTTGGTTACTCTCTGAGGGCAGGGGCTAGGTCTGATTCATTCCTGGGACCTCACACCGCCCAGTACAGGCTATGAAGCAGAGAGCAGACATAAACTGGGGACATAAACTTAAGACCCCCCATCACCACCACCACCCCCATTTTCTTCAGCCAGGCTCTACCTCCTAAAGTTTCCATAATCTTCCACAGCAGCACCACCAGCTGAGAGACAAGTGTTCAATTTACTCGAGCTTACGGGGGTTGGGGGTGGGGTGGGGTGAGGTGGTATGACACACTTGGTCCCCAGTTGGTGGCACTGTTTGGAGAGGTCGTGGAGCCTTTGAGAGATGGAGCTGGGTCTTTCTGGAGGAAGTATGTCACTGGGAGTGGGCTCTAAGTGTTTATAGTCTCACCCCACTTACTACTGTCTGTACTCAGCTTCCGATTTGCATTTGAACATGTGAGTTGTCAGCTTCCTGCTCCTGATGTCATGCCTGCCACCACCACCACATTGGACTCTTAACCCTCTGGAACCATAAGCTCAAATGAACTCTTCCTTGGTCTTGGTGTTCTATCACAGCAACAGAAAAGTAACTAACAGCAGCAGGATGCCTATGTCCTGGAGACTCACAGATGGTAAATAAGAATGAGACTTAGCAGTCTCCAGCACTGTTCCAGCCAAGATATCCTGGGGTTGTAGGGCTCGGGGTGAAGGAAGGAGCAACCTGGTGTTATAGTTTGGATGTGAAATCAGACACAGGCTCCTGTGTTGAACACTGGCTCTCCAGCTGGTGGTGCTGTTTCGGGAGGTTTGGAACCTTGGGGGCTGGATGAATGGCTGGCACAGGTTCCTCAGTGAGGGTGGACCTTTCTGAGTTATAGCCTGGCCTTGCTTCCTGCCTGAGCTCTCTGCCTCTTCTTTTTCTTGGTGCTGTTTTTAAGATGTGTTTTTATTTATGTGTCTGTGTGAGTATGTGAGCATGTGTGCAGATGCCCACAGAGGCCAGAAGAGGGCATGAGACCCTCTAAAGCTGGAGTTATAGTCAGTTGTGAGCTGTCTGATGTGGGTGCTTGGAACAGAACTCAGGGCTTCTGGAAAGAGCAGGAAGAGCTCTTAACCACTAAGCCATCTCTCCAGCTAGAAAGGGTTTATTCTGGCTCACCGTACAAGGTGCAGTCCATCAAAACGGGGAGCTCCAGACAGCAGGAACTTGAAGCACCTCATCACATCATATCCATATCGGGAAACACAGCAATGAACTTGAGCATGCCAGCTGGTGTTCAGCTCAATTTCTTCACTTACACAGTTCATGATCCCTGCCAGGGAATGGTGCCACCCACAGTGGGCGGGTCTTCCCACCTCAATCAGTGCAATAAAGACAGGCCCCACGGGCACGTCCAGAGGCCCATCTCCTGGGTGATTCTAGATCCTGTCCAGCTGACAGCTAACACTGACCATCAGAGACTGTATCCCTTGAACCATGAGCCAAAACAAATCCTTGAAGTTGCTTCTGTCAGATATTTGGTCACAGAGCAGAGCCTCAAGTACTCCCTAATCTCCAAGCACTTGGCACTGACTGGGGCCTTAGGCTGTAAGTGGCTTTGCCTGTTGCACACCAGAGGCCAAACCTGTGGTTTCCACTCTGATGCTACCACTGCTGCTAGAGGGGCATCAACCCACTTCCCAGTGGGGATTCAGTGTGTGTGTGTGTGTGTGTGTGTGTGTGTGTGTGTGTGTGTGTGTGTGTTTGTGGTATACATATGGCAAGTATGTATCTGTGTCTGTGTATGGAGTGTGTGTCTATGTGTGGTATATGTGTGTGTGTTGTGTGTATACGGTATGTATGTGTGTATGGAGTGTGTGTATGTGTACATGTATGTGTTGTGTGCATATGGTATGTATGTGTGGGTGGGTTTGTATGTGTGGGTATGTGTGTATGTATGGTGTGTCGTAGAATATTACTTTATGTAAAGATGTATTATATTTGTTTCTCCTGCCTTTGTTTAATTATGTAAAGAGATGCTGCATTTGTTTTACCTTACCTGCACAAGGCACCTGATTGGTCTAATAAAAAACTGAACAACCAATAGCTAGGCAGGAAAGGGATAGGTGGGGCTGGAGGGCAGAGAGAACAAGTAGGAGGAGGAATCTAGGAAGAGAGAAGAACAAGAGAGAGAAAGGGAGAAAGATGGGGAGATGCCTGGGGCCAGCCAGCTAAACGGAGTCGGACATACAGAATGAAAGAAAAGTAAAAAGCCCCGAGGCAAAATACAGATGAAGAGAAACAGGTAAAATCAGTTATAAGAGCTAGTGGGACAAGCATAACATAAGCCTGAGCATTCATAACTAATTAATATGCCTTGTGTCATGATTTGGGTGCTGGTTGGTGGCCCAAAAGAAAGCCTGCTACAGTGGTGTATATGGTATGTGTGTATATGGTGTGTGTGCACACACATGTATGTGATGGGTATGGTGTGTCTGTGTGTGTGTATATGTGTGTGTGGTACATGTGTATGTGTGTGTGTATATGTGGTGTGCATGTGTATACATGTGTAAGTATGATGTGTGCATAGAGTATATATGTGTGGTATGTCTAGTGAGTCTGTGTATATGTGTGCATGTTATATGTGTACATGCATATGATGTATATGGAGTGTGAGTGTGTGTGTGTGTGTGTGTGTGTGTGTGTGTGTGTGTGTTGATAGTTCTAATTATTTTTTAAACTATGTGTCTTAGTTTCTTCAGTACCCATGAAACAACCTTCAAGCTAATTGTGCATTATACAGGCTACAGGCTGGACATTATCTCTCCAAAGCAGCACACAAGCTTCCCCCTCCTTTTAACACTGTCCTGCTAGCTGAATTCCATTCTGGCGCAAGGGGCACTCACTGAGAGCTGTGTCCCAGAAGGTGACTCAGTTCTGAATTCCCTGGGCTCCATGGGCTTCATGCTGGATTCTTGGTCTATTCCAGCCTCAGAGCCCTGATGGGCTCTCATCTGTGCACACTTCTCTGCCTGCTTGGTCCTGAGAAGTTTCACTCTACGGAAATGTGCTTCTGATTAGTTCTGATTTCCTGCCTCTGCGTCACCAGATGGACTCTGGTTTTGTTCGACATTCAAGTCTGGAGTCTCAACAGTACTGCCTGCTGGCTGTGCTATCTAGGGAAAGCTACCCAACTTCTCTGCAAGTTGGTTTCACACCTGTGTAATTGGGATTCCCTGTTTAACAGGCCATGGGGTTCAGATGGGTCAGCTGTGAAGGGTCTTTGCACCCCTAGAGATTGTTATTTATTTATTTGTTGTGTGGGGGAGTTGAGGTTTTTTTAAAAGCTTATTTATTTTTATTTCATGTGTATAGATGTTTTGCCTGAATGTATGTTTGTGCACTGCATGCGTGCCCTCAGAAGCCAGAAGACGGTGGCAGATCTTCTGGAACTGGCGTTACAGATGGTTGTGAGCTACCATGTGGACACTAGAAGCTAAACCCAGGTCTTCTGCAAGAGCAGCCAGGACTCTTAACTACTGAGCCATCTCTGCAACGCCTTGTCATTTATTTATTTGTGCTTGCTTATTGAGACAGTTTCATGTAGCCCAGGCCAGCCTTGAACTCACCACATTAAGGATGATGACCTTGAACTTCTAATCTTCCTGTCTCTATCTCCTGAATGCTGGGATTATGGGCATGCACCACCACACTCAGTTTATGCAGTGCTAGGAATTGAACCCAGGGCTCTGTGTATGCTAGGCAAGCAAGCAATGAGCAATATTCCTAACCTGTGTTTGCCTTTGAATCCAGTTTCTCTCCATGCTGTACCACGTCATTCCTCTTCCCCTGATAGACAACCACTCAGTCCCAATTACCATATCTCTCTTTGTTACATAGGATTGGGGGGGATCATGAAAGGGAGGCCCTTATGATGGCATTAGTGGTTTTGTGAGAAGAGATGCTTGCTCTGGATCTCACCGTGTGATATATCATGAAAACCCTTGCTGGATCTAGATGCCAGCACCATACTCTTTCATTTACTCAGCCTCTGAAACCGTGAGCTAAATAAACGTCTGTGTTTCATAAATTAGCTCATCTCAGATGTTTTGTTACAGAGCATAAAATGGGCTAAGACATACTCACATGAAGGGGAGGAGGCAGAGGAAAAGTAGTGTGATTGTCGTGGCTGCGTAGACAACACCCTGGAGCAGCGCTTTCAGGAAGATCTGGGGAGCCAAAGGGCCCCTTCCTGGAAGTAGAAGGCATTTCAGTAAGGCTTTATCTTTATAAGTAAAAAAAAAATTTGTTTGTTTGCATATCTGTGTAAGGTGTTGCATGTGCCACACTGTGCATGTGGAGGTCAGAGGACAAGTTTGCATATCTGTGTAGGGGTGTTGCATGTGCCACACTGTGCTTGTGGAGGTCAGAGGACAAGTTTGCATATCTGTGTGGGGCGTTGCATGTGCCACAGTGTGCATGTGGAGGTCAGAAGACAAGTTGCAGTAGTCTGCTTTCGCCTCCTACCATGTGGCACCTGAGGACTGAACTGAGGTTGTTAGGTTTGGCCGCAAGCACCTTTCCGGGTTGGGCCATCTTGTACACCCTCTAGAAGCCTTTCTTAAGATTCAGATTCCAGACTGTGCTCCCTCTTCTGGCCTCAGTGCCAGTCCCTCTCCGTTCACTGCCCTCGCCCAGTCCAAGCCCCTCCCCGTTCACTGCCCTTGCCCAGTCCAAGCCCCTCCCCGTTCACTGCCCTCATCCAGTCTCCAAGTCCCTGCCCTCACTTGACATCAGCAGGATGCTCAAGCCGTGAGTTCCGTGTTGGTTCTTTCCCTCACAAAGAAGGACTGTGCCCATTTCTGGGTCCTTGAGTAGGCTGAGGGTGCTGTTGTCCCAGGAACCAAGTGTGGTAGAAGTCACCTGGAGCTGGCCATGCCCACTGTTCACGTCCACAGGAGCACCGTCCATCCACCACTGCACAGAGGGTGTGGGGACCCCATGAAAGGAACAACTGCACTGCAATGTCTTCTCCACAGCACAGAAGGAGCTCATCAGTCTGGCTGGTTCTGTGGAGAGGAGGGTCAGGGGTCAGCAAGGTGACCTGACTGTCCTTTGTCTTCTTCCTTACGGACCCACCCTTCTTTCCTTTGTTTGCCACCCTGGGGATGAAATTCAAGGCCTCCTACATGCTAGATAATGCCTTACCATTGAACCACACCCCAGCCCCTCCCTGGGGGATTCTAGGCAGGGGCTCTACCACTGAGCCACACCCCCAGTCCCTCACTGGGGGATTCTAGGCAGGTGCTCTACCACTGGGCCACACCCCCAACCCTCACTGGGGAATTCTAGGCAGGTGCTTTACTGATGAGCCACATCCCCAACCCCTTACTTGGGGATTCTAGCAGGGACTCCACCACTGAACCATAACCCCAGCCCTCACTGGGGATCCCAGATACAGAGATGATGTCTAATTCACAATGATTATTTGTCTTCTACAACCTTCTGTCCTCTTTCTTCATAGTTCCATCTGTAGCTTCCTCAGACAGCTCTAGAAGTGCTTCTTGTCCCACTTACCCAGCTGTAGATGCGGCATTCCCACATGCAACAGCAAGAATCCCAGTACTCTTCACCATGAGGAAGGAGGTGATGGCAACTGAAAGAACATGTGGAGGTGGGTGCGCAGAAACATCTTTGAAAAGCAGGTTGTGGTGGTTTGAAAGAAAATGGTCCCCAAAGGGGGATGTGGCCTTGTGGGAGTAGATGTGGTTTTGTTGAAGGAAGTGTGTCACTGTGGAAGTGGTCTTTGAGGTCTCATATAGGCTCAAGCCATGCTCGGTGTCTCAGACCACTTCCTGTTGCCTGCAAGTCAAGATGTAGGACACTCAGCTGCTTCTCCAGCACCATGTCTGCCTGCACACCACCATGTTTCACCATGAAGATACTGGACTAAACCTCTGAAAATGTAAACCACCCCAATTAAATATTTTCCTTTATAAGAGTTGCTGTGGGGGGCTGGAGAGATGGCTCAGAGGTTAAGAGCACTGCTTGTTCTTCCAAAGGTCCTGAGTTCTATTCCCAGCAACGACATGGTGGCTTACAACCATCTGTAATGAGATCTGGTGCCCTCTTCTGGCCTGCAGGGATATGTGCAGGCAGAACACTGTATCCATAATAAATAAATAAATCTTAAAAAAAAAAAAAAAAGAGTTGCTGTGGTCATGGTGTCTCTTCACAGCACTTGAAATCCTAACTAAGACACAGGTGCCTGCAACCCTCTACTCATCCCAAACACCGATGCCCTAGAGAAGCAAGAATTACATGGAATGAGATGCTCAGGGGTATCTAGGGACAGGTGTGGTCATCCTTAATGTGGCACTCTACCACCGAGCAATATTTCCAACCCAGTGCTGTGTCTGTTTAGGAAAAGGGACTCAATGACCAGGTATGTCAAGTTCTCAAAAGCTAGTGGCAATGCATGGATGGATGGTAGTTTGAATGTAATTGGCTTCCATAAGCTCATAGGGAGTGGCATTATTAGGAGGTGTGGTCTTGTTGGAGAAAGTGTGTTACTGTGGGGGGCAGACTTTGAGGTCTCCTATGCTCAAGCTATGCCTGCCCTGTGTCTCAGGCCACTTCCTGCAGGTCAAGATGTAAGACTCTCCGCTCCTTCTACAGCACCATGTCTGCCTGCGTGCCACCATGTCGCACCATGATGACAATGGACTAAACCTCTAAAAATGCAAGCCGCCCCAATTAAATGTTTTTCCTTTATAAGAGTTGCTGTGGTCATGGTGTCTCTTCACAGCAACAGAAACTCTAACTAAGGTGATGTTATACCATGGAGGGATGGGATCAAGAGGTGCATTTGGGATTCTTCCAATGCAGGCTAGGTGACCAGGGCAGAGACCTCTATTGTTATTGAGAAAGGATGAGTTGAAATGTGAGGGATGGGGGACAGGACTCAGAGGGGTGGGTAGAATCTAGATTTCTGGTGTTCCTTTCATTGTCCAGAAATGAGTCTGAATAAATCAGTCACTAAATTCATAGCCAGATGTGGTGGCTCACAGGCTGAAATAGGAAGCCTACTGTAGCTGGCTGTGTAGACCAGGCTAGTCTCTGGCTCCTGAGTGCTGCATTGCTCCTGCTCCTCACAGAGAGATGCTGCTGCCCAGGCTCCCAGGCATGAGGGCTTCTTACTTTCACACCAAACACGAGCTTCACCTTTGCTCTGTCAACTTTTCTCTTCTCTTTTGCCAACTTAAAACCTCATTCTGGATGTTGGAATGAACCTAATATGGGTCCTGGCCCAAACTTTGCCAGTAAATCACCAAAGTACTCTGGTCAAATATCATCCCTTCTCCAATTTTGTTTTTATGTTCACGTCACATGGGTGGGATTTATTGCTGGAGATGTAGTGATTAATCTAGCTTTATACTTCTGATTTCTTATTGCTCTTCTCTGCCAGCTTTAAGGAGTACAGGTAGGACGCTACTAATGGATCTCTTCATGGTTTTCGCTCCTCTTCATTTTACTTGATGTCTCGGGTCCATGAAATTCTTTTTCTTCAGCACACTTCCATCTATCTGTCTCCCTACCTCCATCTTGTTAGCTAAGTGCTCTCCAACTGTTAGATTTTTGTTTTGTTTTGATTTATGTAGCCAAGGCTGGCCTTTCTATGTAGCTGAGGATGACCTTGAAATTGTGATTCTCCTGCCTCCACCTCCCAAAAGCTAGGATTACAGGTATGTAATTGGGACTAATTTACCAAGAGACTGGTGGGAGCCTAATTCATGGATCCCTGTCAGGTTATGACAGAGATGGATTATGGGATCAACTGATTTGCAAGGGAGCGAATGGCTAACTCACGCAGCCACTACCCTGATAATTAACTCCCATGCTTCTAATTTGCTCTGTTAGTAGAATGGTGATCCACTGGCTACTTTTCAGGCTAACTTGGTGACACGCTGAAGGTGACTGAGGGGAGAGAGGCTGACCAAGTGACTGAGGGGTGACAGGACAAACAGTGAGAGAGACGGGACAAATAAGTGACTTGAAGGGTAACAGGTTGACTAGGTGGGGAGGGGCGGGGGGCGGGGAAGATGAACAGCAGACTGAGAGGTAAAAGCTGACCGACCAGGTGACTGAGGAGTGACAGGCTGACTGAACTGGCCCCTGGAAACTGACCGGTGTACAGGCCCTGTCTGCTGATCCAGAATGGGCCTTGGACAAACGCAGAAGCTCGGGGTACCCTGCAGCTGACGTTGCGAGTGCTTTAACCGCCCTGTGGCTGTCACGTGAGAAGTGGATACGCTGTCTGAGGACTGCTTGACTAAGGGAGGAACTCCATGCCCCCAGAAGCCCAGCATGGAGAATCTCGACGCACAAAAGTCCCATGGACCCTCCCACAGGCCCAGGCGGCCCGTCATATTCTGTCTGCCAGGCTAGAGTGCCACAGATGGGCTGCGTGAAAGTCTCTGCCGCGCATGCGCTGTGTGTGTGTGTGTGTGTGTGTGTGTGTGTGTGTGTGTGTGTGTGTGTGTGCGCGCGTGTGTGCGTGCGTGCGTGCGTGCGTGCCTGCCTGCCTGCCTGTCTGTCTGTCTGTCTGTCAACGACCTGGTGATATATGAACATCTTACCCAGCAGCCAAAGAATGGCTGAGGTCCCACGCTACCAAGTGAGGTTATGAAGCTTTGCATTGCGCACTTGCCTCTGGAACTTGATGCAAAGTCATCATAGCCGATCAGAAGCAGAACATGCATGTCCCACCCATCTTTGTGGTGGCTCCGAGCCAATCAGGAGTTACTGCGAGATGCTGACCATTTGGCCTCCACAAGGCCTGTTTTTGACCACGCTCATCAAATCACGCTTTGGCTTCCAACCCTGCTTACTCCCTTCCCTGTCAGTTAGCCTTGCTTGATTTTCTTCTACTTTACTCATTACAAACTTTCTGACCCATTATTTCACATTTTCAAAACTGCTTCTTAGCTACTCGATTATGTTAAATTTGCATTATCCCACTAAAACTACACACCTTGCAATTCTGGTCATGTTCTGTTGTTTTCACAACTGTCTCCTCGAGGTTGAAATATTGACTGTGCTTCATACTCTTCAATAAATACAGTTTTAATCACGGGCAGGTTAAAGGAGCAGGACATCAGGGTTACAGGGGCTAGGTCTAGGCTTATCTTCCTAAGATGCTGTCAGGTGGACTTTACAGCCTGCTCCATATCAGCCACACATGAGAACAGTCATTTCTAAATTTCCCTCTCTCTCTCTCTCTCTCTCTCTCTCTCTCTCTCTGTGTGTGTGTTATTGGCCCACTGAGATTCTGAATTTGCATCTGCCTGAGGATCAATATAACATTATCTTATATTCTGTTTTAAGTGATTTATCATCATCATTATTTTCTCTCTCTCTCTCTCTTTCTCTCTCTCTCTCTCTCTCTCTCTCTCTCTCTCTCTCTCTCTCTCTCTCTCTCTCTGTGTGTGTGTACATGAGTGAATGTCACCCATGTGCAGGTGCCCATGGGGTCCAGAAGAGGGCATTAGATCCCTGAAAGTGGAGTTGGAGACAGTTGTGAGCTGCCTGTTAGCTGTTGTGTGATAGACTTCCTGAGGAGACACAACACAAGCTTCTACTCACCCCAGGAAGGGAGTCTACAACAGACCAAAGTAACGAGGGCACCAGTGCCCAATCTGACAAATCAACGAGTTCGTTTCATTGCCTCACTAAGAGGTGGATACATAAAAGTGAAAGTGTACCACACATTTTACATCTAAAGGCCTATTTTTAGTGTGTGTGTGTGTGTGTGTGTGTGTGTGTGTGTGCAAGTGCATATAGAAGTCACAGAGGGCATCAGAACCACTGGAGCTGGAGTTGCAAGGCCTTTGCAGCCAATTGATGTGGTGCTAAGAACTGACTCGGATCCTCAACAAAAGCAGCAGGTGCTGTTAACCAGTGAACCATGTGAGATCTTAAGCAGAGACCGCCCACACTTAAAATTTAATGTAAAGAAGCAAATAACTTTTTAAATTATTATAGAACTAGGCATTATTAAGGAGCAGTAAGATGTAAGAAAATAATGTAAAATCCTAATTTTAAACCCTCCCATTTTTCCTATTCCTGTGTAGGCAGCATTCCACAGTGTAAATTTTCTTTTTAAGCAAAATTTAATGGCACTTAAAATTAGACAAAACAGCTAAAAGCACAAATGGAGGGGCTGGAGAGAGAGCTCAGTGGCTGAGAGCACTGGCTGCTCTCCTAGGGGACCCAGACTTGATTCTCAGAACCCACGTGGCAGTTCACAACTGTCTGTAACTCCAGTCCCAGGAGACCCAAGCCCCTCTTCAGACCTCTGTGAGCACTGCATGCCTGTGCATGGACATAGATGCAGGCACTCACACACATAAAAATCAAAATAAATAAATCTCTAGACACACTAATAGAAAGTAAGCAGCACAATGAAGAAAACCCGGTAGGGGAGCTGGGCATGTCGATTCAAGCTTGTAATACCAGCATGTGGGTGACCGAGGCAGGAGGATTGTCATGAGTTCCAGATTGGCCTGGGCTCCAGAATGAGACTCTGTCTCTGGAAAAACAATAACAACAAAATCCAAAAAATTCTAAAACAAGGCTGTTTGAAACCTGGGGCCT